TGGCTTGTTAAGCTGCCTATTGCGTCATGAAGGTAACGGTGTCGTCAGTTAGGCACCTGTTGCTTTCTTACGGCACCTGTTGCTCCATTGCTGTACCTGTTGCTTCACTACGACACCTGTTGCTTCATTACTACCACAACTACCATTACCGTTATTCCAAACTACGACCACAACTACCATTACCGTCATTCCAAACTACGACCACCTAAAATTCAACGTGAAACAACCCAACAATGCCTTTGAACTACCTGTTGCGTCGTTAAGCCACGCCCAAACTACCTGGGAGAGGGTAAGGGACACCGGAAGTGGTTAGAGGGGAGAGGGAGAGGGGAAAGGGAGAGGGGAGAGAGAGGGAGGGGAAGGGTGGGGAAGGAATCGATTTTAAGACCAAGTAGTCAGCGTCTCCTTGGCAGCCGTGACGTCATCTGTGTGTGTGTGTGTGTAACTCTCTCTGGCTCGTTGTCTAGAGAGAGAGAGAGAGAGAGAGAGAGAGAGAGAGAGAGAGAGAGAGAGAGTATATGCACGTAAAACCTGTTGAACAAAGATTAGGATATGTATCAATATTCTCTCTCTCTCTCTCTCTCTCTCTCTCTCTCTCTCTCTCGCTCTCGCTCTCTCTCTCTCTCAGGAAGGATTTGCACACATTTTAAGGAAAAGATAAATGGTTGAGCGAGTGTTAGGTTTCTCTACTATAGAAATCATCTGCTGAGAGGGAAGGAGAGGAGGAAGGATAAGAGGGAGAGGGTAGAAAAAGAGGGACGAGAGGGTCATACTCTCAACTTTGACCTGATTGGGTGGTCAGGTCAGGTCAGGTCAGTTAGGTCAGGTTAGGTTAGATTAGGTTTGTGTTACTACCTTAAGGGACACCAATAATAATACCTTCTGGCCCTGGCACTCAGTATTGCCAACCAGAAGCATTGGGGTAACATGACTCTCCACTCGGACTTGGTAACACTTAATGGTCAGTTGCCAAGTGTTGTTTTGTGTTTTTCTTTTCATTTTCTGTGTGTGTGTGTGTGTGTGCGTGTGTGTGTAGGTTTTATATGTGTGTTTTGTATGTGAGTGTTTTATGTATGTGTATATGTGTGTGTTTTATGTATGTGTGTCTGTGTCTGTGTGTGTGTGTAGAGGACACTCGGGACCGTAATTAACTTACACACCTCTCCATCCTCCGTTCAATTACTGACGTAAGGCTGAAAGACACATCAGGAGAGAGAGAGAGAGAGAGAGAGAGAGAGAGAGACACCTTTAAAGACCCTTCAACCACAAGACACCATTAACACCGTAAACTTTATATATTAAGCGCCAATAAATTATAAACTCTTTCCTCCATTATACCATCAGGTAACAGGCCACCAGGGAGTCATTAAACAGCGCCATTACTGACAGCGGCGGCCAACTTAACTACACCAACCCCTTATACTTAACAGGGTGCAGGTGTGTGTGTGTGTGTGTGTGTGTGTGTGTGTGTCTGTGTGTGTGTGTGTGTGTGTGTGTGAGTAATAATGATAATAATAATAATAATTAACGGTTTATTGAAAGAGCTTGGCAGCCAGAAGGCTGAAAATATACAGTTACATATTTGGGGAATGGGTTTCGAATTACAAATAATATACAAAGTAACATAAGTGATACAAATAAGACATATAATAACTAGATGGGGAAAAGCTCAAACTACAGTTCATTTCAACATAGTGACAGTGCAAGGAAGTAGTGTTTACTGGGAGTGAATACACTGGTTTATTACAAGTTATTGATAATTTTTACAATGGTTGGGACTGGGCTGTTCTTATAGCGATCAGTTCGTGCACGTATGGGCTGGATGCGGTTGTGGTGTCGAACAGCAATTCTCGGACTAGGGATCTCAGGTGGTAGTAGGAGCCGGTGTCGAGGATGGTGTAGAAGCTTCTTACCAAATTTGCAGATGAGGTCGTGGTGATGGTCAGTGAGAGTCGAAAGGGTCAGTGTGTTGAGCGCTTCTTGATATGTGGAGTAGGAAGGGAGAGAATAATCTTGCATGCCCTCTTTTGCACTTTTTCTAGGTGTTTACGTTGTGTGGCATTTAGGGAGGAAGACCAGGTGGGGAGGCATAGGTGAGCTTGGGAAGTATGAATGTTGTAAAACACTGAGGAGCTCAGGTGCAGGAACTCCGAGGGACTTGAGTCGGCGGAGGAGGTGGAGACGGAAACTGGAGGATTTGACAACTTCACTGACGTGTGGTTTCCAATTTAGTTTGTTGTCTATGGTGACGCCGAGGAGCTTCGTGGAATCTACACCTGGAGTGTGTTCGGACCTAAGAGGAATGGAAGGAGGAGGGACAATGTCGGAGGAGAGGTTGATGTGCATAACCATGGTCTTGGTATGGTTGATGGTGACATGGTTGTTGGTGGCCCAGTTTTGGAGACTGTTCAATAAATCCTGAAGGGCGGTATAGTTGGGAGCAGAATTGTTGACGCTGATCCCAATGGTGGAGTCGTCGACATATTTCCAGCGAGCAGGGGTTTCTCTTAGGGCATCATTGATGAGCATAAGGAAGCAGAGTGGTCCCATCTTGGTGCCTTGGGGGACGCCACAGGTGAGTGACTGAAAGGTGGAGACAGCCCCTCGGAAGCGTACAGCTTGGCGTCGGTCACTGAGGAAGTCTGTAAGCCATGGTATAAGACTTCTCCGAAGCCCGAGGTCAATTGCTTTGTTGATGTGTGTGTGTGTGTGTGTGTGTGTGTGTGTGTGTGTAATTTGTCATGATGGTAGCCGAGTTATTGGTTGCGTTAAACGATGTACTGAGTGCGTTAAACTAGGTACTGGGTGCGTTAAACGAGGTACTAGGTGCGTTAAACGAGGTACTGGGTGCGTTAACCTAAGTACTGGGTGCGTTAAACTAGGTACTGGGTGCGTTAAACTAGGTACTGGGTGCGTTAAACGAGGTACTGGGTGCGTTAAACTAGGCAGGGGGTGCGTTAAACGAGGTACTGGGTGCGTTAAAACTAAGTACTGGGTGCGTTAAACTAGGTACTGGGTGCGTTAAACGGCTGGGTGCGTTAAACGAGGTACTGGGTGCGTTAAACTAAGTACTGGGTGCGTTAAACTAGGTATTGGGTGCGTTAAACGAGGTACTGGGTGCGTTAAACTGCGTTAAACTAAGTACTGGGTGCATTAAACTAGGTATTAGGTGCGTTAAACGAGGTACTGGGTTCGTTAAACTATACTGTAGAACGGTACTGGTATTAACGTGTTGCGTTAAACGAGGTACTGGGTGCGTTAAACGAGGTACTGAGTTGCGTTAAGGTACTGGGTGCGTTAAACGAGGGTGCGTTAAAGAGTATTGGTGTATAAAACGTACTGGCGAGGTACTGGTGCCAGGCATGGGGATAATGAGACCGGGGGTGTGTCAGGCGCATGATGAATAGGTGTTGGCGCGACCATTTATACTGCACCACTACCACCCACCACCCACTCACACCACCACCACTGCACCACCACCACCACCACTACTACCACCACACCTACACCACTACCATACCACTACACCACACACACACCACCCGCACTACCTACACCACCACCACCTGCACACTCACACTACTACCACCACCACCACCACCCACACCACCACCACCACCACCTGCCTACCTACCACACACACCACCACCTACACCACTACCACCCACCTACCACCACACACCACACTACACCACACCTACACCACTACACCACCACCACCACCACACCACCACCTACACCACTACCACCACCTACACCACTACCACCACCTACACCACATGAAAACGTAGCATCAGTGGCTCTCTCTCTCTCTCTCTCTCTCTCTCTCTCTCTCTCTCTCTTTTCTTTGACGAAACTGAAGAAACTGGGGGAAGAATTAATTAAATTTATCTAGATGTAAGTTACCAAGGGAGGTTAGGTTAAATAAGGTTAGGTTATGTTAGATTAAATAAGGTTAGGTTAGGTTAAAAAACGGTTAAGTTACGTTAAATAAGGGTTAGGTTAGGTTAAGTTCCCAGAATACTTTCACTTGCAGTCTTGTAAAAATTGATATTTAAAAAAAGGTTCTGTAAATGTCACAGAGCAAAACACGTTTATTATTTAACACGAGAGTCGAGGTTCACAAAGATTCCTGTGATAATATGGGTCAGCTGAAGATTAGCCACCCAGCCTATTTCACCTGATGATTAAACACCGTAATGTTATCTGGGTTAGGTTAGGTTAGGTTCAGGTCAGGTTAGTTTAATCTTCAGGTGAAATAAACTGGAGGACCAAGTCATCAGGTGATCACAAAGTGGGTAATATGTTTTAATCCTAACTTGGAATAACATAAGAACAATATTGACGCCTCTGACCCGATAAATGCTTTCTTACATCACAGTACACGAGGTAAATTGAATTACCTGAAGATTAGTCACCCTAACCTAATCTAACTGCCCTAATGCTAACCTGACCTAACCTCCGCTATCCTAAACTAACTTAACTATCCTAATGCTAACCTAACGCTAATCTAACCCAAAGTTAACTTAACCTAATTAAACGAAACCTATCTTAACCTAACGTAACCTAATCTGAAGTTAACTTAACCCTAACCTAAAATAAACTAAGCTAAACAAACCTAACCTAACCTATCTTAACTGAACTTAACCTATAGCTCCATTCCAACCACTGTAAAAATCTTCCCTGTCACTCCCTTTTGGACCGTAACTACACTGAAATTCCTTGTTAAGTGACCCCTCTTCTCCCTGTCATTGTATTTTATGCACAATGCCAGCTGACAATTTCCCGCCAAACACAGTAAGCTAACATCTTTTGGCGGGAAGAATAAGAGCACAAGATCCTCCAGTATGTAAACAAACACTCAGACAATATCCTTCGCTCACTGGGGTAGTCACGTCGGCTCACAAAACACATTTACATACATAATTCCACACAGGAAATGACAGAGGTACAGGGAGAATCCTTAAATATAACGTAAATACATATATATATTAACTCACCTGGGTCGTGGTTCTTGACTAAAGGCAGGGAGTAGGAGGTGTGTGATTGGTCCGTTGGCATGAGGGTGGTGGTGGCCATGTCTCCCTGCGACGTCATGATGTTTGCTTCCAATAAGAGGCCAAGGGCAGTTGTTGTTGGTGATTTCATGGTAACTTCAGCTCTATTGACGTTTCAGCGGGTTTGATCGAGGTTTTTCAAGGAATTTCAGTACACCACCACTCACCTGAGGTTAAACAATTCACAGCGCTGCTTCTGTTTCAGCTTATCAGTATTTAGGGAAGTCTCAGACCCCAGTTGTAATTGGCTGCAAGGACTCGTAGATCATATCCGACTTAGACTTTCCAAACCTTGAAGCCGTCGGCAAATGTTTTCCTCTGAAATAAACAGAAAAAATTATTGTTAATTTAAGAAATGAATGTTTTGAAGAACTTGAGTGAACGAGTGTCACTATTTCTGTTATTGTTTGGGTAAGTCAGGTGATGTAATATAAAGAAAAGTATGGAAATAGAAGAGGTATGTGGAGATGTTCACCTGGTGCAGGTTAATTATTAATGATGATCTTGGCTCATCTCTCTCTCTCTCTCACTCTCTATCTCTCTTTCTCATTCACCCCTTCTCTCTCTACTTACTGTAACACGGATAAACATTTCACACCACCTGACTTATTGTATCATGAATCTTCCCATTGCTACACTGAATCAGGAGGCCTTGAAGTTGAAGATCTCCTGAAGCTTTAACCTAAATTTGATACTCCACATTGACTTCGTATATAACATTAAAGAATATCCTACTCCGTTATTGTCGCTTGTGTATGAACCTCTGTCCTATGTGTCAGTGACCGGTGATAGCACCCTCAGTGTCAATAGCAGACTGAACTGCTTAGATTAGACAATGTTGTACTCCAATCTTGATAGTATAGTTATATTTTTGTTGGAACAGGAGTGTGTGTGTGTGTGTGTGTGTTTCTCCCTTTCTTTCCTACACACACACACACACACACACACACACACAAGCACCCCAAGCAAACACTCCAACTTAAAGCTGACGTGATCAAATGCTTGTCAAAGGTACATGACTTAACACAACTTGTGAACTGCACAGCATATCTTTGCACACGAGTTAACTGACATCTGCTGTTCAGTCTGTGATAATTGAAGTGTGTACAATGCGTTCTTATTGAGGTGTGGTCTTGAGCAGGTGTGTCCATAATGACAGGAAATAGTCATATGTATGCTAGTGAGTCAAGGTTATAATATTTAGGCAGGTGTGCAGTTAGGCAGGTGTATCTGTGATAACCTGAAGTAAACAAAGACAGACAAAGAGACAGAACAGACAAACATAGCTGGGGAGAAAGAGAGAGAGAGAGAGAGAGAGAGAGAGGGAGGGAGAAAGAGAGAGAGAGAGACAGAACAGACAAACATAGCTGGGGAGAAAGAGGGAGAGAGAGAGAGAGAGAGAGAGAGAGAGAGAGAGAGAGAGAGACAGAACAGACAAACATAGCTGGGGGAGAAAGAGAGAGAGAGAGAGAGAGAGAGGAGGGAGAGAGAGAGAGAGAGAGAGAGAGAGAGAGAGAGAGAGAGAGAGAGAGAGAGAGAGAGAGAGAGAGAGAGAGAACAGACAAACATAGCTGGGGAGAAAGAGAGAGAGAGAGAGAGAGAGAGAGGGAGGGAGAAAGAGAGAGAGACACAGAACAGACAAACATAGCTGGGGGAGAGAAAGAGGAGAGAGAGAGAGAGAGAGAGAGAGAGAGAGAGAGAGAGAGAGAGGGAGAGAGAGAGAGAGAGAGAGAGAGAGAGAGAGAGAGAGAGAGAGAGAGAGAGAGAGAGAGAGAGAGAGAGAGAGAGAGAGAGAGAGAGAGAGAGAGGAGACCAGATTGATAACTCTCCAGAGTATAGGTTCCATAGTGTTCCAGTACTAATAGATCCCAGTACTAATAGGTTCCAGTACTAATAGGTTCCAGTACTAAAATATCCCAGTACTAATAGATCCCAGTACTAATAGGTTCCAGTACTAATAGGTTCCAGTACTAAAATATCCCAGTACTATTAGATCCCAGTACTAATAGTATTCCAGTAATTAAGTACTAGGTTCCAGTACTAAGGTTCCATACCCAGATCCCAGTACTAATAGGTTCCAGTACTAATAGTACTAGATCCCAGTACTAATTCCAGGTTCCAGTAGTACCACAGATCCCAGTATCCAGGTTCCAGTACTAATAGGTTCCAGTACTAAAATATCCCAGTACTAATAGATCCCAGTACTAATAGGTTCCAGTACTAATAGGTTCCAGTACTAATAGGTTCCAGTACTAATAGGTTCCAGTACTAATAGATCCCAGTACTAATAGGTTCCAGTACTAATAGGTTCCAGTACTAAAATATCCCAGTACTAATAGATCCCAGTACTAATAGGTTCCAGTACTAATAGGTTCCAGTACTAAAATATCCCAGTACTAATAGATCCCAGTACTAATAGGTTCCAGTACTAATAGGTTCCAGTTCTAATAGATCCCAGTACTAATAGATCCCAGTACTAATAGGTTCCAGTACTAATAGGTTCCAGTACTTATAGGTTCCAGTACTAAAATATCCCAGTACTAATAGATCCCAGTACTAATAGGTTCCAGTACTAATAGGTTCCAGTTCTAATAGATCCCAGTACTAATAGATCCCAGTACTAATAGGTTCCAGTACTAATAGGTTCCAGTACTAATAGGACCCAGTTCTGGCTTCTATGCCAGACTAGCGGAGGTGTTATCTGAACGGAAGCAGCAGCCCAGAAGTTATGTTACAACCGAGTTGAGATATCGACTGTCCTCCTCTTTCCTTCGGTCTGCTTTGCTTTGCCTCAGGGGAACGAGAGCATCGGTCCCAAAGCCGACAACAGTTGCAGATATTGACTATGACGCAACAGTCACTGAATGCCGCATAGATCTGCGGCTCAACTAACTCAAAACAGCCAGGATAGGTACTTTTGTATAAGGATATTTAATTTTAAGGTAATAAAATGGCGGCGAAGGTGTGGCTATTGGGGGAGGCTGAGGCCACGTTCTAATAGGCCCCAGTTCTAGTAGGACCAGTACTAATAGGCCTCCTTGTCTCACAGTTTTGTTATAATATTTAATTAAAAGCAAATTTATAGTTAAGTAAAAAGTTAAGAACCTTCTCCACGGTTAAATACAACACAACTTTTAAACAAATTGGTGAAGTTAAACAAATAAAACCAATTAAGTCATAAAAAAGCCAAACAATAGATATACCTTAAGAAAGACATAAACACCAACGAATTAACAACATAAAGTAAAATAAATTGTCCAGTTAAAAAATATAAAAAAAAGTATATGAAATTTATATTTTTTTATTAATCGATAAACAATAAAATAACCGATAAATAAAACTCCTTCAGAAGTAACCATTGGATCTTTAACCCCCGTGACGTCACCAATAAATCGATAGTGATTGGTTAACCTTGATCTAGTTGTCTTGTTTGCCTTGTTACGGCGGCGGTGGTGGTGATTGGTGCTTGTTAGGTTGTTAGCCCTTGTTAAAGTAGGATTTGGTTAGTTGTGTCTTTTGTTAGATTAAAGTGTGTGGTGGTGGGGGGGGGTCGGGAGGAGGGAGGAAAAGGTGGGGAAAGAGGGAAATAAAAGGAAGGAAGGAAGGAAAAGAGAGAGGGGGGAATAAAGGAGATAAGAAGAATGATAGATAGATAGATAATAAAGTTCAAAGGTCAGGTTGAAGATAATAATAATAAATGTATCCCAAGGTAATGGTGTTTGTCTCTGCTTTCATAACGTCACCCAGAGCGGTAATCAAGCACAGGTGTGAAAGCGGAACAGGGATCATCAGGTGTGGGACTCATTGCTCACCTGGGATTAGTGGCTGAAGGCATTAAGTCAATGAGGAAAAATACTGACTGTCTTGTTGGCCATCATTAACTACCACCACCACCATTACCACCACTACTACCATTATCAGAACTATCACTACCACTACTACTACCATCACTACTACTACTATCATCATCATCACTATTATACCACTACTACCACCACCACCACCACTAATACCTACGCATCTCTCATGAATAAAACTGTACCTGTGCTCTGTAATTAAACCTGTATACCTGTATTTGTTACCTGAGGCTACACCAACATGTCAATAATTACTATACCTGTATTTGTATTGTTGTTTCTGAATATTTTTTTTTTTTATATACTTGACACTGTATCGCTACAAAGACGCTGTCACTCGTACAACTTATTTTGCATCACGTTTACCTCTCTCTCTCTCTCTCTCTTTCTCTCTTTCTTTCTCTCTTTCTCTCTCTCTCTCTCTCTCTCTCTCTCTCACACCAAAGACTATTTTTTTTAACCTTCGTAGCATTTAGTAAATTAAATTGTCATAGAAGAATTTCAAAGGGCAATAAACGTTGATTAAAACGAATTAGAAAAAAAAAGGGTGTAATTTTGCAGCCTAGAGCGTCAGTGACCAACCGGAAGTGTTGGTGTGAGTAAAATTATATAGGAAGGGTCTGAAGTCTCGCCAAAAATACCATCCGCTAAATTAAATCGATGGATAATCACTAATTATCGTGTTTTTTTTTTTACTAAATATCTATCTAATCCTTTACATTTCTAGTTACAATTCTTATCTCTTATCGGTCATGTGTAGTTAGGAGAGTTTGTGAGTTAATAAGAGGAAACGTTTAGAAGACTTACATAACACCGTGAAAATAATATCCGTTGAAATTAAGGCACTAATGGTATTTTTGTTCCAACTGTCTACATTAATTTTTTTTTCATTGTTGTTTTATTCAGGTGTTTATTTCACTCTCTCTTTACCAGTGTGTTATTATTCTCCGCCGTATTGGGAGGAGGACTATAGAATGCATGGCGGCAGTGTGTCTGTCTGTAAGGAAGTTGTCCATACGATAACTTGAAAATATGTTGATGGATTTTAACCAAACTTGGGGAACAGGCGCGTCACAACACCAGCTTACGGTAGTTCGGTAATTAGTGTGGTGAGTCATTATTGTACTGAGTTATGGTCTATTGTACCTAACCGAACCTAACCTAACCTAACCTATCTTGTTATTAACACTTGAAAAAATCATCAAAATTATTATTATTTTTTCGTTCATTTTAATTTTTTGGTGACATTAAGTTAGGTTAGATTAGCTTAGGTTAGATTAGCTTAGGTTAGATTAGCTTAGGTTAGGTTAGATTAGCTTAGGTTAGACAAGATTAGGTTAGGTTAAGTTTGGGTTTTATCAGGTAAAATTCTGCCCGATGGGTAACTGCCCAGTGAAGATATTGATCATTAGAGCAATAGTCCAGCATAAGAGTTGTCCAGCGACTGAAAATTTTGCATGAGCAGTATTATTAATCACCATTTTTTTCCATAAATAAAATAGTTTAAGTTTTGTCCAATAGATAAATTTTGGTGTTAATAGTAACCAGCTTGAGATATTTTCAAAACAGATTATATCTATCACGGGAAAAGTCCAGAGTAGAGTTTTGTCCGATAGATAACACCGCCCATACACACCTAACAAATTTGACAAACACCTTTAAAAAATTTACACTGGATAATTACCCATCGGACAGAACTTTACCTGACCAAACCCTAACGAAACCCCAACCAAACCCCAACCAAACCCCAACCAAACCCCAACCAAACCCTAACGAAACCCCAACCAAACCCCAACCAAACCAAACCTAATCAACACACACTACACTTACCTGAGAATCTGTCCTGTTCAGCTGACGAAGGCACAGCAGCTGAGGACTCTTATCACGTGGTAACAGGCTGACGGCGGCGAGAAGAGGCAGCAGCGGCGGCAGGAGGTGTGTCTGTGTGTGTGTGAGTCCAGGGAGGTTGTGGCGAGGTGGGTGTGAGTCAGCCGAGTGGAGCTTCGGCCTGAGCTAACCTCTCTCTCTCTCTCTCTCTCTCTCTCTCTCTCTCTGCTCTGCTCTCTCGCTCTCTCTCTCTCTCTCTCTCCTTCACTCTCTCTCACTCTTTTTTCTTCTTTCCGCCCTCCCTCCTGTCCTCTCCTCCCCCATTTCTTTCCTCCCTGCTTCCATGCTTCTCCCCTCCATTCTCCCTCCTCCTCCTCCTCTCTCTCTCCCTCCCTCCCTCCCTCCCTCGCTCTCGCTCTCGCTCTCGCTCTCTCTCTCTCTCGCTCTTCCTTCCTCCATAGAAGAACACAATTGTTAGCATTTTTAGCGAACTATAAGGGAAAGAGAGAGAGAGAGAGAGAGAGAGAGAGAGACACACATTGGGTGAAATAGCATACATACATACATACATACATACATACATACATACATACATACATACATACATACATAAACTTAGGCAAACACGGATGTACAGTACGATATACATACATGCATATACATACAGTCCCTGTCACACACACACACACACACACACACACACACACATACACACACACACACACACACCTCTACAGTACTGTATACACCATCGATCCGTAGGTGTTCCCCCCTCCCCTAGCTATTCAAGGTCACAGCTCAGGTAAATCTCTCACGCCTCTACACTGTTCTGTCTGTCTGTCTGTCTCTCTCTCTCTCTCTCTCTCTCTCTCTCTGTTTGACCTCAGATAGGGGTAGACACATCTTTTTTCCCGTTAGTACAGGTAAAAAAAAGTATGTTATCTAATTAACCTGTATACCTGTCCATGTAGGTGTCTGTATGTTTGTTTAGGTGTTTGTGTACAAGGGTGTGTGTGTGTGTGTGTGTGTGTTGTATTCCTTAACAACCACCACAACCACAACACACAACCACCCCTTCACCACAACCTCAGCCAAATTCCAACGCTCACCTGACCTCACCTGTTCAATACTTCTCGACCAATCACGTGCGTTCCTTTATAATGTTCGGTGTTTTTGATTAGTCGGTTTTGAGAGAGAGAGAGAGAGAGAGAGAGAGAGAGAGAGCTTGAAGGTCTATCATCTTAATAAATAAATTGCTCCTGAAAGATGACCATCTCTCTCTCTCTCTCTCATCTTTCTCTTCCTCCCTCCCACTTCTCTTTCCCTCATTCTTTTCTATCCTTCCTTTCCTCCTCGTCTTTCCCGCTTGACTCACTTCCCCATCCCTCCCATCCCTTCTCTTTTTCATCTCTTCACTCTTCATTTATCACAGTTACACGCCTACACGCCCACAGCTACACGCCTACAGCTACACGCCTACAGCTACACGCCTACACGCCCACAGCTACACGCCTACACGCCTACAGCTACACGCCCACAGCTACACGCCTACACGCCCACAGCAACACGCCTACACGCCCCCACAAAGAACTGAGATTAATGTGATCAGTCAGGTGAATATTTTTACCTCACTCTCGACGAACACACCTGAGAGAGAGAGAGAGAGAGAGAGAGAGAGAGAGAGAGAGAGAGAGAGAGAGAGTAAAAATAGCAAAACAACAACAACAACAACAACAACAACAACAACAAACACTCCCTTACCATCATACAGAAACAATGAAAAGATTAAGTTCATTATAGATTTTTGTTAATAAAGTAATGAGTTCCAAATTAAACTTACCGGTAAATAAATTAATTGTGATAGAACTTTAAATAGAGTTCTTAAAGTGAGGCCTCGATGGATGCTAAAGTTACCCCTAAAATTGATTATTGGTTTTTGTTTTCTTTGGTAGCTTTAAGTTTCCGTTTTCTTTGGTATAAGTACAAGAATATGGAGTGTAAGGCGGGGAGCGGGTAGGGTAGGTTAGGTGTGTGTGTGTGTTAGTGATTGATCTCTGTTGGCAGGTGAAGTAAGGGTCAGGTGTTGGCAGTTGAAGTGAGGGTCAGGTGTTGGCAGGTGAAGTGAGGGTCAGGTGTTGGCAGGTGAAGTGAGGGTCAGGTGTTGGCAGGTGAAGTGAGGGTCAGGTGTTGGCAGGTGAAGTGAGGTCAGGTGTTGGCAGGTGAAGTGAGGGGTCAGGTGTTGGCAGGTGAAGTGGATGGGTGTGTTGGCAGGTGAAGTCAGGTGTTGGCAGGTGAAGTGAGGGTCAGGTGTTGGCAGGTGAAGCCGGGGTTGGCAGGTGAAGCAAGGATCAGGTGTTGGCAGGTGAAGTGAGGGTCAGGTGTTGGCAGGTGAAGTGAGGGTCAAGTGTTGGCAGGTGAAGTGAGGGTCAGGTGTTGGCAGGTGAAGTAAGGATCAGGTGTTGGCAGGTGAAGTGAGGGTCAAGTGTTGGCAGGTGAAGTGAGGATCAGGTGTTGGCAGAGTTGGTATAAGTAATGAAAGAGTGACCGAGCTGGCGCACACTACCCACCAGGTGACTCGGAAAGGTCAACATTAAATTGATATGAGGCCTAACCTTTCACCTGACCTAACCTAATCTAACCTGATACAGTGTGAGGGAGCTTTATACAGTGTGAGGGAGCATTATACAGTGTGAGGGAGCATTATACAGTGTGAGGGAGCATTATACAGTGTGAGGGAGCATGATACAGTGTGAGGGAGCATTATACAGTGTGAGGGAGCATGATACAGTGTGAGGGAGCATTATACAGTGTGAGGGAGCATGATACAGTGTGAGGGAGCATACAGTGTGATGATACAGTGTGAGGGAGCATTACACAGTGTGAAGGAGCGATACATGATGCAGTGAGGGAGCATTATACAGTGTGAGGGAGCATGATACAGCATGAGGGAGCATCATACAGTGTGAGGGAGCATTATACAGTGTGAGGAGCATGATACAGTGTGAGGGAGCATTATACAGTGTGAGGGAGCATTATACAGTGTGAGGGAGCATGATACAGTGTGAGGGAGCATGATACAGTGTGAGGGAGCATGATACAGTTGGTCAGCCCTTTCAAAATAAATGACTTTGGCCCCATGTAACTGTGAGATGCTCCGTGTTGTGCTGTGCCGTGCTCTGCCCTGCTGTGTGGTGTGGTGATCTGCTGTGCTATGCCACGTTATGCGTTATTCTGCTGTGCTGTGTTGTGCTGCGTGGTGCTGTGTGGTGATGTGCTGTGCTGTGCTGTGGTGTAGTGTTGTGCTGTGTTGTGCTGTGTGGTGCTGTGTGGTGTTGTGTGGTGCTGTGTTGTGCTGTGCTGTGGTGTTGTGCTGTGCTGTGTTGTGGTGTAGTGTGGTGTTGTGCTGTGTTGTGTTTCTGTTAATGGCTGTATTTACCTGTTCATTGCTTTGCGGCGCTGTAATGTACTACCCCTAGAGTACACTGACCTAACCCCGAGAGTACACTGACCTAACCCCTTGAGTACACTGACCTAACCCCTAGAGTACACTGACCTAACCCCTAGAGTACACTGACCTAACCCCTAGAATACACTGACCTAACCCCTAGAGTACACTGACCTAACCCCTAGAGTACACTGACCTAACCCCTAGAGTACACTGACCTAACCCCTAGAGTACACTGACCTAACCCCTAGAGTACACTGACCTAACCTCTTCAATCCAGTGTTAACAGGAATAAATTTTAGCCCAAACTTTTTCACCTAACCAATGTTTTTCACTTCGCGAAATTAATTAACCTTCGCCAAAATTGCATCTCCAGGTTGATGATGAAAAATTTTACCGACGTGAATTTGTTTTTTTTAATAAACATAAGTTAATAAAGTTAGTAAATATAGATATACAGATGTTAGTATTTATTATAAAGTAAATGATTTAGAAATGACACTTGCCGCCGCTAGGGTCGCTCTTAATCTCCTGTCAATATCGTCCAAAGAGAGACAGGGAGAGAATCACACATATGGAGGTCTCTTTTCTTTCTTTGTTTTATCTCTCAGGGGTTCAAACCTCTTCTCTTCTCTCCCCTCTCGTTTATCGTCAACCGGAAGTGATTTGGGTGTCCTCTTAAACACCAAGGGGAGGAGAGGGGAGAAAAGAGGAGAGGGGAGAAAAGAGGAGAGGGGAGAAAAGAGGTCATTGAACTATGTTTAGGCAAGAACTTTGAGTTTTGTATTTGCATCTTGTTTCGAGGCTGAGTGAAGCAAAGGAGAGAGAGAGAGAGAGAGAGAGAGAGAGAGAGAGAGAGAGAGAGGTTAAGTCATGGTTGGAAGGAAGGGAGAGAGGGTTTGGTGGTGTGTGTGTGTGTGTGTGTGTGTGAGTGAGGTAGAGTTTACAATATAATAACCAAATGTTAATCCTTTTTAAGTAAACTTAGTATGTTAACAGACCTTAGGATCTCGTAAGCCTTCAATAAATAATAAATGATTAGTGTCGTTGTCATACAGAATTTTGGCCCATTGGACTTAACCACTGCCACCCTATTGGACTTAACCACTGCCACCCTATTGGACTTAACCACTGCCACCCTATTGGACTCAACCACTGCCACCCTATTGGACTTAACCACTGCCACCCTATTGGACTTAACCACTGCCACCCTATTGGACTCAACCACTGCCACCCTATTGGACTTAACCACTCTATTGGACTTAACCCTGCCACCCTATTGGACTTAACCACTGCCACCCTATGGACTTAACCACTGCCACTATTGCTTAACCACTGCCACCCTATTGGACCTAACCACTGCCACCCTGTTGGACTTACTGCTGCCACCCTATTGGACTTAACCACTGCCACCCCTATTGCCTCTTGACTTAACCACTGCCACCCTATTTGGACTTAACCACTGCCACCCTATTGGACTTAACCACTGCCACCTAACCCAGACTTAACCACTGCCACCCTATTGGACTTAACACTGCCACCCTATTGGACTTAACCACACACTATGGACTTAACCACTGCCACCCTATTGGACTTAACCACTGCCAATTCTATTGGACTTAACCACTGCCACCCTATTGGACTTAACCACTGCCACCCTATTGGACTTAACCACTGCCACCCTATTGGACTTAACCACTGCCACCCTATTGGACTTAACCACTGCCACCCTATTGGACTTAACCACTGCCACCCTATTGGACTTTAATTATATAGGTTGTAAAAGAAAAACACATCGTCAATTGATATAAAGTTTATAATATAGAGACACAAATTGATATATATATAAACAACATCTGGTTTGTGCTGTTGTTTGAGAGTTATAAACAAGTTTTACATAGTTAATAACACAGGGAAACATCAACGCACACACACACACACACACACACACACACACACACACACACACACACACACACACACACGTTTCCAAATTCAATGCATATTATCCAAGTTCTATAAGCAAATTAGTCTCCCATAAGAATAAGAAAAGCTTAGTTCAGTATCCCCTCCTACAGCCTCACCTAGGAGTCTTAAATCCCAGCTAGACCTCCTATATCCTAGTATATCTTCCTATATCATTTCTTAACCAATCAGCGAAGAGTATCAATGTGCTCTTTCCACCAATCAGAGAAGAGTATCAATGTGCTCTTTCCACCAATCAGAGAAGAGTATCAATGTGCTCTTTCCACCACTCAGAGAAGAGTATCAATGTGCTCTTTCCACCACTCAGAGAAGAGTATCAATGTGCTCTTTCCACCACTCAGAGAAGAGTATCAATGTGCTCTCTCAACCAACGAACTTCTAGTGATAATCCCTAACTCCTAATCTCCCTCTCACTCTATAAATACTCCCCCAAACATCAACAATCTCCCTCCTTCTCCCTCTCACTCCATAAATACTCCCCCAAACATCAACAATCTCCCTCCCTCTCCCTCTCACTCTATAAATACTCCCCCCACACATCAACAATATCCCTCCTTCTCCCCCTCACTCCCTAATTACCCCCTCAAGGATAAGTAATCTTTCCCTTACACTTACACGTTGCTCGACAGTATCTAAGTCTTTCGAGTCCTTCCTTGGTGCGAGTCTCACAGAGCCATGATGAGAAGGCCATCTGAAGCTCCTTGCAATTGACCCACAAGTCACCATATGGACAGGAATTAGTACATAGTCTTTTCGCTTTGCACTCTGTAGGACACGAGCCGCACGGGATGCCTCGCTTGTACGGGCGGGGTAGGCTCTCCAAGTAGTTACCGCTGGAATGAGGTAGTTGAAGGGTTGTTAATTTGGATTAGATAGATAGATAGATAGAAATTCAGCAAAATATTCATGGGAATTTGTATTGATTTATCATGTTGTGTTGGTAATGTAGATAGGCTATATACGTAGACACTGTAGGTATATAAACAATGTATAGTGCCTAGACAGTGCAGGTATATAAACAATGTATAGTGCCAAGACAGTGCAGGTATATAAACAATGTATAGTGCCAAGACAGTGTAGGTATATAAACAATGTATAGTGCCTAGACAGTGCAGTCTCATATATGTAGTGCCAAGACAGTGCAGGTATATAATGTATAGTGCTAGACGGTGCAGAGTCTCAAACAATGTATGAATTGAAGACAGTGTAGGTATATAAGGCAATGTATGGTGCAGGAACAGTGTATAGGTATATAAACAATGTATAGTGCCAAGACAGTGCAGGTATAAACAATGTATAGTGCCAAGACAGTGCAGGTATATAAACAATGTATAGTGCCAAGACAGTGTAGGTATATAAACAATGTATAGTGCCAAGACAGTGCAGGTATATAAACAATGTATAGTGCCAAGACAGTGCAGGTATATAAACAATGTATAGTGCCAAGACAGTGCAGGTATATAAACAATATTATAGTGCCTAGACATTTTTAATTATATAAACCAATGTATAGTGCCTAGACAGTGTAGGTATATAAACAATGTATAGTGCCAAGACAGTGTAGGCATATAAACAATGTATAGTGCCTGAACAGTGCAGGTATAAACAATGTATAGTGCCAAGACAGTGTAGGTATATAAACAATGTATAGTGCAAGACAGTGCAGGTATATAAACAATGTATAGTGCCTAGACAGTGCAGGTATATAAACAATGTATAGTGCCAAGACAGTGTAGGTATATAAACAATGTATAGTGCCAAGACAGTGTAGGTATATAAACAATGTATAGTGCCAAGACAGTGCAGGTATATAAACAATATAGTGCCTAGACAGTGCAGGTATATAACAATGTATAGTGCCAAGACAGTGTAGGTATATAAACAATGTATAGTGCCAAGACAGTGCAGGTATATAAACAATGTATAGTGCCTAGACAGTGCAGGTATATAAACAATGTATAGTGCCTAGACAGTGCAGGTATATAAACAATGTATAGTGCCAAGACAGTGCAGGTATATAAACAATGTATAGTGCCAAGATGCAGGTATATAAACAATGTATAGTGCCAAGACAGTGCAGGTATATAAACAATGTATAGTGCCAAGACAGTGCAGGTATATAAACAATGTATAGTGCCAAGACAGTGCAGGTATATAAACAATGTATAGTGCCTAGACAGTAGGTATATAAACAATGTATAGTGCAAGACAGTGTAGTATATAAACAATGTATAGTGCCAAGACAGTGCAGGTATATAAACAATGTATAGTGCCTAGACAGTGCAGGTATATAAACAATGTATAGTGCCTAGACAGTGCAGGTATATAAACAATGTATAGTGCCAAGACAGTGCAGGTATATAAACAATGTATAGTGCCAAGACAGTGCAGGTATATAAACAATGTATAAGGCAGGTATATAAACAATGTATAGTGAAGACAGTGCAGGTATATAAACAATGTATAGTGCCAAGACAGTGCAGGTATATAAACATGTATATGCCTAGACAGGTATATAAACAATGTATAGTGCCAAGACAGTGCAGGTATATAAACAATGTATAGTGCCAAGACAGTGCAGGTATATAAACAATGTATAGTGCCAAGACAGTGTAGGTATATAAACAATGTATAGTGCCAGACAGTGCAGGTATATAAACAATGTATAGTGCCAAGACAGTAGGTATATAAACAATGTATAGTGCCAAGACAGTGTAGGTATATAAACAATGTATAGTGCCAAGACAGTGAAGGTATATAAACAATGTATAGTGCCAAGACAGTGCAGGTATATAAACAATGTATAGTGCCAAGACAGTGTAGGTATATAAACAATGTATAGTGCCAAGACAGTGTAGGTATATAAACAATGTATAGTGCCAAGACAGTGCAGGTATATAAACAATGTATAGTGCAGACAGTGTAGGTATATAAACAATGTATAGTGCCAAGACAGTGCAGGTATATAAACAATGTATAGTGCCAAGACAGTGTAGGTATATAAACAATGTATAGTGCAAGACAGTGCAGGTATATAAACAATGTATAGTGCCAGACAATGTAGGTATATAAACAATGTATAGTGCCAAGACAGTGCAGGTATATAAACAATGTATAGTGCCAAGACAGTGCAGGTATATAAACAATGTATAGTGCCTAGACAGTGCAGGTATATAAACAATGTATAGTGCCTAGACAGTGCAGGTATATAAACAATGTATAGTGCCAAGACAGTGCAGGTATATAAACAATGTATAGTGCCAAGACAGTGTAGGTATATAAACAATGTATAGTGCCAAGACAGTGCAGGTATATAAACAATGTATAGTGCCAAGACAGTGCAGGTATATAAACAATGTATAGTGCCAAGACAGTGCAGGTATATAAACAAGGTTGTTTGTATCACCAAGATTTTGTTTGGTAAGTACACACAATACTTAGAGGGGGAAGTACCTACTGGAAAGAACACACAAAAGGAAGTAGCTAACAGGGCAGTACCTATCATGGCAAGTACCCAACACGACAGTACATACATGGGGCAGTAGTTACATACATGGGGCAGTAGTTACAGACATAGTTGTAGAAAGGTCTGGGTTTAGCTTTGGCACAATAAGCTAAGCCACAACCTAACTGGTGGGTAGAATGCCACACCATCTGCGTATAGTGACCAACCACCGTTAAATCATTCTTCAGTCCCCCGTAGGTGAAATTGTCCTTCTCTAACCACCAGGTCTTGACGGCGAAGAACCTGTAAGGGTCAAAGGTCAGGTCACTCATATGCTGGTAAGGTGTTTGTATTTTGGCAGACAGACAGACATAGAATTTACGTTAAATAGGTATAATCGCTTTAAAAACACTTAAGTTAGATTAGGTTAGGATTAGGAAGTGATTGGGTTAGGTTAGGTTAGATAAGCATCAGGGGGGGGGTAATCTCTACATGATCCCACAAAAAAACAAACAAATCACTATACAACACGTAGGAAGGAGGGTATCGAACCATGGTACTTGATGTGTCGCGACGAAGATATTTTGACCACAGGGCCCAAACTGCTCTACGGTGCGGCCTCTGTCATCATCGTGAACTAAGAGCTGGCAGGAGTCGGCCCATCTCTGTGCGTCTACAGCAGCAACTGACGACCAACTCTGTCAAACACACGTATATATACAGTACATATTATATCAGGGTTATATTAATGTTCTATGGCTATATTATGTTTACAGTATGGCTCTAGCATGTCTTGTGTATATTCTGGCCATAGTTTGGCTATTTTGGGCTGTATTTTTACTATTTTAGTGGCTATATTCTCGCTAAATCTCGCTACATTTTGGCACCATTTTGGCTATATCAGGACTCACCATAGCCAGCATGTTGGACGCTGGAGGCTTAACTTTTGACCGGAAGAAGTTATGGAACTGGACCAATCTCTTCTGTATCCGATACTTGGCTGGCTCCAATGACCTGAGTCGAAGCTTACTGCCAAAAAGCTTAGGCCCTGTGAGATATAATGAGAGATGAGAGATAATGATAGAGACGTGTTTTTTAAGCTTACTGCCAAAAAGCTTAGGTTCTGTGAGAGATATACTGAGAGATACTGAGAGAGAGACAGAGAGACAAAGAGACAGTATTATGTATTGTTTCATTTACAGTTTTATTTACATAGACTAAACATTTTTTTTTTATTTACACTAACAATCGTAATTAAAATAGTGTAAATAATATGGAAGAAAAAGATGTTTGATACTAGGGGTTATTTGATAGGCTCGGTGTATGGTCTGTCTGTCACACACACACACACACACACACACACACACACACACACACACACAGTTCCAATGCCAATAAAGCCTTTCATGTAGGAAGAAGACAGTGATTAAAGTGCCCGCTGCTTGACCACTGGCCTCCTCCTCCTCCTCCTCCTCCTCCTCCTCCTCTCCTCCTCTGTCATCATCGTCTCCTCCTTCACCCCACCTCTTCCTCCTCCTCCTCCTCACGTCATCATCATTCCTCCTTCCTCCCACCTCTTCCTCCTCCTCCTCCTCGTCATCATCGTCTCCTCCTTCCTCCCACCTCTTCCTCCTCCCCTCCCCTCCTCGTCATCATCTTCATCATCGTCGTCATCATCACCATCATCTTCATCGTCCTCGTCATCATCATCATCATCGTCGTCCTCCTCGTCATCATCTTCATCGTCCTCGTCATCATCATCATCATCGTCGTCCTCCTCGTCATCATCATCATCATCGTCGTCCTCCTCGTCATCATCATCTTCTCCTTCCTCCTCCTCCACCTCCTCCCTTCCCGTCAACTGGTCTCTCTCCTCCTATATCCCCCTCCCCTCCTCACCCTCCTCCTCCTCCTCCTCCTCCTCCCCCCTCCTCCCCTCCTCCTCCTCTCCTCCTCCCCCTCCTCCTCCTCCTCCTCTCCTCCTCCTCCCTCCTCCTCCTCCTCCCCTCTTTCTCCTCCTTATCCTTAACACTCCTTTTTTACAGACGACACTCACTATCTCTCATATCACACACACACACACACACACACACACACACACACACACACACACACACACACACACACACACACACACACTGAACCCTCCTACCATCACCACTATCACTACCACTATCACACACACACACACACACACACACACACACACACACACACACATCAACCACTTTCATTATTTACTCAAATGTTATGACCTCTGCTAAACCCTGAAGTCACTGTCTCTCTCTTCTGTGTATGTATGTATGTATGTATGTATGTATGTATGTATGTATGTATGTATGTATGTATCTATGTATGTATGTATGTATGATAATGTGTTTCTCTAAATAATAAAGGCTTAGGAAACAATAATAACAGGTAATGAGTATCAAGAATGAGTAATGAGGAATGATGAGGAATGATAAGGAATGAGTGAGGCATGATAAGGAATGATGAGGAGTGATGAAGAATGATAAGGAATGATGAGGAATGATAAGGAATGATGAGAATGATAATGAATGAATGAGGAACGATAAGGAATGAGGGAGGAATGATAAGGGAGGAATGTACTCACGACGATCAGTACGCCAGGTGTAGGACAGGTGTAGCAGGGCAGTCACCATCACTACCAGCGCCACTTGTAGTCTACAGTCTCGTGGCGTCATGATCCTACCGGCGCCGCCACCTCCTCCTCCACTCCTAACACCCTCGAAGGATCCTTGCTGCTGTGTCCTGGGATATGTGAGTCCTAGGAGACGTAACCTGGAAGTCTTTACTGCTGTGCCCTGGAATCTGTAAGTCCTAGGAGACGTAACCTGAAAGTCCTTGGAGACGTAACTTGGAAGTCCTTACTGCTGTGCCCTGGGATCTGTAAGTCCTAGGAGCAGCGTCTTGGAACTTCAGGCGATTTAATCCTTCAAGTTAGTTCAGTAACTCCTCCTCCAGCTGACGCCTTTGAAACTGTTTGCTAGTGTCTCAGCAGGCGGTGCCCTAAAAAACTGTTGATCCTAGCACCTCTCCCCCTTTGAGCTAAGAGTCTTAGTACATCTGCCCTAGGAGCTGAGAGTCCTTTCACATATGCCCTGGAAACTGAGAGTCCTAGTGCTTCTGCCCTGGGTAGTGAGAGTCCTAGCAGAAGTTACTCCTGATGTTCTAGCAGCTGAATTCCTAGGTGGATGATGTCCTAGGTATCAGAGGTCCTGCTATTATCCTCTTGTTTGTTGTCATTCATCAGCTGATTTGTGTTTACATTCGTCAGCTGATTTACGGACCCACAGCTGTTCGCTTGAGAAGTCTTGGAGAACACTCGGGGGAATTTCTAACCAACACACAAACGTATCAGTGGAGACTCTCGGCGATTACAGTAATCCGGATTTACCTCTGAGTGTTGTCTAGAACTCTGACGTCGACTCGAAAATCCCCAAATTGATCACACAACTTGAGAAACTTTCCACGGTGTTCTTGATGTTCTATTGTGTTCTTTTGTTAAGTGGATGTTGACGTCATTGATGTAGAAACTTGTCAATGTTTACTTCGAGGTGAAAAGTCTTTATTTTTACACTTATTTCAAAATCTCTCGTGTTTTTTTTTCTCTTGGTGTTGTAGATATTTTACGAGGTAACTCGGTAAAGTATCGTTGTTGACAAGTTTTCAATGAAATAAATTATACTTCTTTTATTTTCTTCTTCTTCAAATTAAGATTGATCAAAACACTGACCAAACACACACAAACACACACACACACACACATACACAGACACACACACACTCACAGTTGCTAATGTTGCAGGAGTGATTTTGATCATAAATTCCTGAACATATTGTGATTCTTATTATATTTTCAACCACGATTTATAAAATATGTCTTAGTTTTCTCTCGTTTTTAGTTCAGTTAATCGTAGGGGATGAGTTTGTTCAACCAGGTAAAGATTAATAAGTCAATATTAACCAAACTAACAACCAAAACACCCAGTACCAATTCACTATATTTTGGTCTTTTTCAGTTATATCCTATTTATAAGTTAACTCCTGAGCCTCAGTAAAAGTTAGAGAGGTACTTGTTACCAACTATGACACACACACACAGGTTAATGACACTTAACCTCTCATACAGACATTAGAAGGTTGATTTACGAGAGAAAGTTATGGAGGACGTATGTGTCTCTCTTCTCAGCAAGCCACCATACTTTCTTCTCAGCAAGCCACCATACTTTCTTCTCAGCAAGCCACCATACTTTCTTCTCATGGCCTCATCACACGTGGGAAAAAAATCACTCACTGTTTACATTGGACAAGTGTTGATAAACTTTCCATTTCACAAAGTTTAAGAATTTATCAAGGTTCTCGATGTATTTTTTTTTTTTTTACTTTTTTTGTTGTTCTCTTTACTGAATCTGGTCCATGGCTATCTTGGATATTTCTGTACACTGGCAGGACTGGACCATCACTATCACCATCACCACCTCCTTCTCCCTCACACTGTAAACATAGACTAATAGGATCCAATGCCGAAGAGATGCTATTGTTTTGTTTACAGCATCGAGATCCTATTCAGAGTAGTATCAGATCCCTTGTCGTTTATACCATCACAGATATATAAACTAAAAACATTAATTACTATTTTCTAATGTTAACAAATTACCAGACATTAGTTTATAATATACACTCAAAAATAAATTAACCACAAGCCTCCCAGGAGACAAAACTAATATCTGAAGTGTAAGAATTGTAATTTTTTTTCAATATAGACGTAAGTTAAATTTCTCCATGATAATAAGTTAAATTATAACAACAACTCACGTATTATAGGTACAGTAAGTTATACACCAAACATACATACAAAGAAATATTTTTTTAACAGTATTTTCAAACATTCATTATATACAGATATTTAAGTTAAACCTTATATAATAGATTATAACTATCTTTCTTTAAATTCTCGTATTAAGTTTTTATATATGGGATAAATTCATATAATTCTTGTCGTAAGATCTTTTAATATATCATTGAGTATTAATAAGACTTTTCCAGAATAAAGACCTTTTTGGAATCACTTTTTTCTCATCTAAAGTCTAATTATTTTTCTCGTAAGTTTAAGTCACTATATTCAAAGTAAGATATATAAGACTTTTCTAACCTTAAGATCTTTTAAAACTGTTCTTTTTTTACCTTATCTTATACTAAAGTTACTAAGATCTTTAGAGAATTTCAACTCTTGTCGTCAGAAATTTCGGGCATTTTATGGTTCATGATTACAGCACAAATGTTCAAATGTCTTGATAATTACAGTACAAATGTTCAAATGTTCAATTATCTTTACTTGTGTCAGCTAGCTCTATGGATGGAAAACCTCACTCAATCACGCACTCACTCACTCACTCACTCACTCACTCACTCACTCACTCACTGACGCAGCTTATTCTAGAGTGGTGGGGAGAGACAGGTGGTTGCCAGGTGGTGGAGAGAGATTGTCAGGTGGTTGCCAGCCGATAGAGAGACTCAGGTGGTTGACAGGTGGTGGAGAGACAGTCAGGTAGTTGCCAGGTGGTGGAGAGACAGTCAGGTAGTTGCCAGGTGGTGGAGAGAAACTGTCAGGTGGTTGACAGTTGGTGGAGAGACAGTCAGACGGTTGACAGCTGGTGGAGAGAGACTCGGATGGTTGACAGCTGGTGGAGAGAGATAACCAGAGGTGCACCTGAAATACGAGACACACAGCTTAATTAGCTTGACACCTGTGGGTACGGGAACAGAGAGAGAATATGTGTGCGTGTGCGTGTGTGCGTGTGTGTGTGCGTGTGTGTGTGTGTGTGTGTGTGTGTAAGAGAAACAGATGTAGAACGTATATAGGTGACTCACTTTTATAATTGAAAATATTTTAGCTTTGGGTGGGCGGGTGGTAGGGTGGGTGGGCAGGTGGCAGGGTGGAGTGGGCTGGGCAGGTAGGGTGGGTGGGCAGGTGGTGAGGTGGGTGGGCAGGTGGTGAGAATTGAAAGGTGGGAAGAAGACCTAAGGTAGGAATGCTGCATGGAGTGCCACAAGTCTTGCAAAAGAAACCAAAGGTACCACAGAGGGAGGAATGAAACACGATTCTTATTTCCACAAGTGTTTAAAACTTGTCTTAGACATGTTTAGAAGCTTGTCTTAGACGATGTTTAAACTTGTCTTAGACGTGTTTAAAACTTGTCTTAGACGTGTTTAAAACTTGTCTTAGACGTGTTTAAAACTTGCTCAAGACGTGTTGTTTTAGACCTGTTAATAATCATGTTAAATTGTGGTTTAATCAAGTTAATTTTTGTTGTTTAAGTGAGGGAGGGGTTCGGTGTCCCCCCCCCCCAGATAAGACCAACTACCTCCCGTTTCTTCCGTCTCTTTACATCTTCTCCCTCCCTTCTCTCACCTCTCTTCCTCTTCTCCCCTTCTCTGAATGTCTTTTTTAAAGGCGCCTACCTGTCCCTCTCTCTCTCTTTTTCCACACACACACACACACACACCTAACAGTATTGACAGATGACATCTCATATAACTCTTCATGACAGCTGCTTATGACAATCATGTCCACTGTGTCTGTCTGTTAAGTCGCTCACACGAGGACAGAGAGAGAGACAGAGAGAGAGAGAGAGAGAGAGACAGAGAGAGAGAGAGAGACAGAGAGAGAGGGTCCGGTTTCAATAATCTGGCCTCACTGTCAAATCAATCATCACCTACGCTGTCAAACTCACTCTCCCCCACTCACCCTACTCCACTCGCCCCCTCCTCCCCCTCACCCTACTCACTCGCCCCCCACTCCTCTCCCCCACTCACTCCCTCCTCTCCCCTCCTCCTCCTCTCCCCCACTCACTCCTCACCCCCTCCTCCCTCACCCCTCACTTTTCCCCCCCCTCCCCACCCCTCACTTCCCCTCTCCCCCTCACCCCACACTGTCCCCTCTCACCTAATCCTCTCCCAAAAGAGTAAGCAAATGAAGTCCAAGCAGCTGAGGCAAAACAAATGAAAAAAAAAAAAGTAAAAAGAAAAAGACTAAATGAATCAGATGAATAAATGAAGGAGATTGAAAGAAATTGAAGTAAATTATTGAAATGAATCGACAAATACAGAAGAAATTATACAAAAACAATAAAAACAAAGACAATTAAAGAAATAAACATAGAAATATACACAAAAACACAAATAAACAAGTACACACACAAACAAACAAACACAAACATAATAATAAGTAAAAACACAAAGCAAAAGAAAACAAACACAAACAAACAAACACGAACATAATAATAAGTAAAAACAGAAAAATACTTATAAAGAAACACAAAGCAAAAGAAAACAAACACAAACAAACGCAAAGATACAAATAAACAAAAAAACAAAAACAAAACAAAAAAAACTAAAAAATATAACAAGGAAACTAAAAAAAGGAATAAAAATCCAAGAAAAACACAAAAGCAAACAAAAACAGAAACAAACACAAACACCCACAAAAAAAAATAAACCGAACACTAATATAAACAGCAAAAAATAATAAACAAATAAACGTAAAAAAAACAGTAAAATTGACAAATAAACAAACAAGATCGAAACACACACACACACACACACACACACACACACACACACACACGAGGAAGTGGCTGACCTCTAGGTGCCATTAGCCTGTGTTGCTCCTTAGGATTAATGAGCACTTAAACCAGTTCTGTGTTTGTGTTAAAAGATCTCTTGTGTGTGTGTGTGTGTGTGTGTGTGTGTGTGTGTAAAAATAATATTAATAACCACATCAACCACAACAACCACATCAACCACAACAACTACATCAACCACAACAACCACAACATCAAAATCAACAACAACAACAACAACAACAACCACAACCACTGGAGTCTCTGCTTAATATAGTAACCTTCCTGGGCCACTGTTCTACTGCTGGACAGACAGACAGACAGACAGACAGACAGACAGATAGACAGACAGACAGACAGACAGTAAGATAGAGAGACAGACAGACAGATAGACAGACAGACAGACAGACAGGAAGAAAGAGACAGAGTGAGAGTTTAACAGATATTTGTGTCAAAAAAAAGTCAGACAGACGTGGTCATCCAGGGTCAGGGTCAGAAGGGGTGGAGGGGTCAGGGGGAGAGGGGTCAGGGGGAGAGGAGTCAGGGGGAGAGGAGTCAGGGGGAGGGTAGGAGAGAGTGAGACAGCAGGAAATGTCCGTGTGATGGTTTGTCCATCTCTGGGTGTGCAGCTGTCCTTGGTGGTCACTACCCAGACACACAGACAGACAGACACACAGACAGACAGATGTACAGATACACACAGACAGACAGACAGACAGGCAAGAAGCTAGAATGATGAGTTCACTCACATTACATACATACGTACATACATACATACATACATACATACATACACACACACATACATACATACATACATACATGCATCTGTCCATTATGAGAGCAGGTGTGTTAATTACACGTCACCAGGTGTACGACAAAACACGAATAGTTCCTGTAATAGACACGTCACTATCATGTTCCAAACACGTTTTTTCTCCCTTCGTTCGTGATGGCTACATTCTTAAAAGTTCCTCCGTAGAAATTCTCACTTAACTGGTGATGTGAGAACGTATTTAACTGTCCTATAACATCAATATATTGGGTAAAATGTCGCCAACACCTCACTGAGACTCTACCCTTATGTATTAACTTATAATTACAATATATGAAGGTAATCTTATGTGCTATCAAGTCAAAGACAGAAACGGCCGACTACTTGGAGGGGGGCGAGAAGTTTTAAATATGGTGAGCGTAATGAACAGGGATGTTTTTTTTTCACTCTCTCTCACTCTCTCACTCTCTTTTTCCTTCGGTCACTTTCCAGTGTGTTATAATTAGACTCTATTTCTGGCGAGCGACGCTGAGTTAGTGAAGAAGAGAGAGAGAGAGAGAGAGAGAGAGAGAGAGAGAGAGAGAGAGAGATTAGGATGTACCATCTTGTGTTTTTTCAGGTACAGGGCAGGTACAGGGGCAGGTACAGGGGCAGGTCAGGGGCAGGTACAGGGGCAGGTACAGGGCAGGCACAGGGCAGGTACAGGCAGGCACAGGGGCAGGTGCAGGGCAGGCACAGGCAGGTACAGGGGCAGGTAAGCAGGCAGAGAGACAGGGGCAGGGGCAGGGACAGAGGCAGGGGCAGGCACAGGGGCAGGTACAGGGCAGGCACAGAGGCAGGGACAGGGGCAGGCACAGAGGCAGGGACAGGGGCAGTACAGGGCAGGTACAGAGGCAGGGACAGGGGCAGCACAGGGGGCAGGCCAGGCAGGTCACAGAGGCAGGCCAGGGCAGGCACAGAGGCAGGGGACAGGGGCAGGTACAGGGCAGGCACAGGGCAGGTACAGGGGCAGGTACAGGCAGGCACAGGGCAGGGTACAGCAGGTACAGGGGCAGGCAGAGGCAGGACAGGGGCAGGTACAGGGGCAGGTACAGAGGCAGGGACAGGGGCAGGTACAGGGCAGGCACAGGGGCAGGTACAGAGGCAGGGACAGGGCAGGTCACAGGGGCAGGCACAGGGGCAGTGGGGGCAGGGCACAGGCAGGGTACAGGGGCAGGTACAGGGCAGGTACAGGGCAGGCAGGGGAGGCAGGGACAGGCAGGTACAGGGGCAGGTACAGAGGCAGGGACAGGGGCAGGTACAGGGGCAGGGGCACAGGGGCAGGTACAGGGGCAGGTACAGAGGCAGGGACAGGGCAGGTACAGGCAGGTACAGAGGCAGGGACAGGGGCAGGCACAGGCAGGCACAGGGGCAGGTACAGAGGCAGGGACAGGGGCAGGTACAGGCAGGAAGCAGAGGCAGGGACAGGGGCAGGCACAGGGGCAGGTACAGGGGCAGGTACAGGGGCAGGCACAGGGGCAGGTACAGGGGCAGGTACAGGGGCAGGGACAGGCAGGGACAGGAGTAGGGGGCAGGTACAGAGGCAGGGACAGGGCAGGCACAGGGGCAGGTACAGGGGCAGGTACAGGGGCAGGCACAGGGCAGGGTACAGGCAGGCACAGGGGCAGGTGCAGAGGCAGGGGCAGGCACAGGGGCAGGTACAGGCAGGCACAGGGGCAGGGACAGGGGCAGGTACAGGGGCAGGTACAGGGGCAGGCACAGAGGCAGGGACAGGGCAGTACAGGCAGGCAGGGGCAGGTACAGAGGCAGGGACAGGGGGTACAGGGCAGGTACAGAGGCAGGACAGGGGCAGGTACAGAGGCAGGCAGCACAGGGGCAGCAGAGGCACAGGGGGCAGGGCAGTACAGGGGCAGGTACAGAAGCAGGTACAGGCAGGCACAGGGGCAGGTACAGGGCAGGCAGAGGCAGGGACAGGGGCAGGTACAGAGGCAGGCACAGGGGGGCAGGTACAGAGGCAGGTACAGGGCAGGCACAGGGGCAGGCACAGGGCAGGCACAGGGGCAGGTACAGAGGCAGGGACAGGGGCAGGCAGGGGCAGGTACAGGGGCAGGTACAGAGGCAGGTACAGAGGCAGGTACAGGGGCAGGCACAGGGGCAGGTACAGAGGCAGGGACAGGGGCAGGTACAGGGCAGGCACAGGGGCAGGGCACAGGGGCAGGTACAGAGGCAGGGACAGGGCAGGCACAGGGGCAGGGACAGGGGCAGGCACAGGGGCAGGTACAGGGGCAGGTACAGGCAGGCACAGGGGCAGGT